CCCGCTGTTGGTTGTCTGGCCTAGCTTGTGACTTGCGCCAGCTTTGAAGGCGGCCGAGCTCAACCGCGGCCAGCGCGGCGCAGATGGCGTGGAGTGTGTCTGCGAATGGCTCTGGTTGCGCATGAAGATCAAAGCGAGCCCCAGCCCATGGAACGATTCCGATGCCGTGGCGAGGCGCACGCGAACAAACCAATTTATATGGACCGATTTGCAGTCCCTTTCCAATAGATCCTCTTCACCGGTCTGACCATTCTCCTTTCCAAGGCCGGTCCATCAACGATGGACGTGCCACGCCGACGGGCTTCACACCTTCTGGCTGTGGTTGATTCAAGACAGGTCTCAGATTTTAACCGCCGTCGCATTTCCTGGTACGGGCTTGTTAGCAAGCTACTTGTCATTGTAGCGTGTGACGTTTAACTTTGGTTCCCCAGTTCCATGGTCCAGCCTAAGGGTGATAAAATTACGACTAAAGTATGAAAAGTACATAGAAGTACGACGGGAACATCAATTTCCCCAGTGGTATTTTTAAGAATACATTTTTGACTTGTGTCTTTTCAAAAATGCAGCCCTTGCTTTTGTTTTGCCACAACTCACAAAGATAGCAAACTCGCGAAAATGCTAGAAAAAATATAGAAGGACAACGTGATTCAAAATTCAATTACCTTGGTTGGTGCTATTTGCATTGTGGCCCTCATCTGAGTATGCCGTTTGGGAACCAGGGCCAGTTAGGTGTATTTCAAGGCTGTATTTTTCAATTTTGTTTTTTTGGGTTCGTAGCCTCTACCTGAAATGCGGGGATTGAAGTTCAACTGTTTCCGCATATTTTCGTAGAATGAGCATATGGTCCTTTTTTCTCTTCTTCATATGGCCCTTTAATCTTCATATTGTGTCTGCATGTTGGAGATAAAACCCCTCAGTTTTCATTCAGAAAAATGAGACGAATGCAACACACTTATGATTCTTAAGATAATTCTTTACAATCGGGCTTTTCTACCATTCACCATGTTTCGAAAGTTCGCCCAGGTGGCCGAACAGTTCTCCTGCATGGGGGTGTCGACACAACATTTTTTGCCAAAAACACAACTTCACATTGCACGAGGAAGCGCGGCGTCATGGTGAACCGCCCCTTCGGCGAGAAATCACAACAGCTTCACAATCGACACGCGCGCAGCGATTTTGAGACCAAGACCCAGGATGGGGCGGGGGTCCAACATATTGAGAATTGTGATAATGGGACCGAGAGAATCCGCGCCAGTGGCTTATTCAACACAAGTTTCCTTCGAGTTTGGATCCGTTTCAAAGGTACCCACACTGCATTTCAGGTCCTGAGCTAGATCCATTTCTTCGAAGATTGGTCTGCTGAATTTTTGCCTGTTTGAATTGCGTAGCTTTCAATTTGCGTTGAGGTTCCATTTGGTGCTTGAACATACTTTTTCTGGAAGAAACACTTCCAAGATTCAAAACCACTGTGTCAAGGACCCCAACCAATTGGTGAATCTTTTTGAATCCTTCTCTTGGGGTCTGACTGGTGGGTCCCTAGGATCGCGGACACATCCCCTCGCTCAAGCTTGGCTGTGATGCGCAGGACAAACTTGAGGCAGCATGAGCTTTCATCGGTGCTGCGGTCTGCCTTTTTTCTTGATGCTCTTTGGTAGGGGCGACCTCACCCACCGGGAGCACGACAGGTTGGTCCTGTTTTCAAGGGCCACCTGCACCGGCAGAAACAGTGGAAAAGCAGATGCCTCTGCGCCTGCAGCCTGCAGATGAGGGACTCAGAGTTCACATTTGGCCTTCCAAGATCTTTCCAGCTTAACCCGAGGCACCTGGATATCCACAGCCACAGACGCCTGTAAGTCTAGAGTCTAGAGCACATCATTTCCCACTCTGTGCCACTTTAGTCCTGGTCACAACAACATGTTCTCTCTGGAGGTGGGTCAGATATGACACCATCTGATTTTGACTCCCAGGCCGGCATGAGCCTGGAGGCGGCCGACAGGAGGCCTGCGTGGATTTGCAGATTGGGCGGCGAGCTCAATGAGTTTGAGATGGTTCTTTAAGCTTTCTCTCGATATCAACCCCGCAACACAGACTTGCTGCAAACACACAGTGGTTTTTTGAGCATGTTCCACTCTAGAGTTACAGCTTGCAGTTTGCGTCTTCTGACGCACTTGGTCGAAAGACTAGAAAAGACGCCATTGGTTTCGTGGTCCATTTGGCGATTCAAAGAGTCCCAGACCAAACAGTGTAGGTTCCCCAAACCAACTTCGCCCTCCTTGTGTTTGTGGGAACATCACCTTCTTCTAAGATGGCCTCGTCTTACAGCGTGAAGTGGGCCGTGTTGGTTTGGGCTGGTCAGTCAATGTCCAGCAACTGCAGCGGCCAAAGACGCCGGCTTGGAATGCTGATGGCTTAATTGTGTCGCCAGCACGAACAAAATGCTGGCATTCAGATGGGGTCCAGGGTGATTTTTCCGTTGTCTTGGTGTCCAGTTAACATGAGCCTTCGCAGGGAGCTGATAGCTCGCCATCCTTGAACTGCAAAATCCTTTAAACTCTGTTCGATGGTCCGGACATCGAACCCCGCTGATCTTCTTCAAATAACAGGTTCTCAAGCCGTCTGCGCGCTCACTGGGATCAAGCACATGGCTTCTCGCTCTAGATCCACTGCCACAAAAGCTCACCACCGATGAATTCATCCAGTTTCATCATCGCACCATCGCCGAGTTACCCTCCACTGACCTGCATGGACCTGCCTGTGATCATGTCATAAATCCTGAGCCAAGCAGACACAGACAGTCTCACCTGCCTTGGCTGGCCCTTCCTTCTTCGCTGGAGCCGTAGTACACGGCTCACCGCCCGCGCGTTAGGCAGGGGTTGCGGGAGGGGTTTGGAGGGAGAGAAGGAGCTGGCGATATCATGCAACATCCATACTTCTTTCAACGGGGGAGCAAAGGAGTTCCGGCGAGTCCTCCAAGCCTTTGCTATTGCTTTCTGTCATTTTGCACCTTAGATGTTTGGTGAACACAGAGAGAGGAGAGAGAGAGAGAGAGAGTTCTTGAGTTGAAACCGCAGTGCCTAGCTGATCTTCCAAATGCAAACACCGCCCAAGCAGGTCTGTTCAAGGTCCTACGTGTACATGGAAGGTGTTTTGAGTCCATGTCAATCGGACTGGCTGGGGGTGCTTGTGAAGAAGACTCACTTCGAGGCACCTGAAATCCGATGATCTAGAGATAGGATTTCATTCTATTCCATATCCTTGCCAAACACCTGGTCTTCCAAGAGGTCTGGTGTGTCATCTCAAGGTGCTTTGGCCCAACGCCGGGCCGCCCCAGGCCAACCGCGCGCGGGCGATGGCGGGGAAGTCTTTGGCCGAGCGGCGGGCTTTGGCCGGCGGCGGCTTCAGCGCGTTGAAGGTGGAGAAGGCGTTGGTCTTTTGCGCGGTCGCAGCAGTGGGTCAGTGGGTTGGGAGGAAGGGGAGGAAGGGGGGTTCGGAAGTTGTTTGAGTATTGTAGATAAGCTTGATGGGCCACTGTGCTGTCATACATAGTCATGCATCCTCAGTGCTTTGGGGGTTTTGAGTCAAGCTTTGCCTAGACTCCTAGACGGATTCTGGCGATTCTAGGGTGGTTTTAGGAGCTTTCAGGATCTTGCACGATGCTCAAATCGAGCTTTCAGGTTCTCTTCTCGACGTTTGTCCACCAAGTCGTTCAAGACGTTTGTTCTCACAAAAGCTCTTCCTCTTCGGAGTCTGACACCTGGACCATCCTGATGGCTCCACATGGCTCCAGTGGCTCCACGGCCGTCGTGGGGGGGATTCGATCGCCTCAGGCGCCGCAGATCAATGTGGCCGGCAACCGGACGATCAGGACCCAGCTGCGATTTGGACATTCAACATCATTCAACTCACCATGGTTTGTTGATTGATGGCTTGGTTGCTTGGTTGCTGGTTTGCTTGGTTGCTGGCTGGCTGGCTGGCTTGCTTGCTTGGTTTGCTTGCACTCTTCACTCTTCGGTTGGGTCGTGCGGATGCTGGACCCCTCTCTACAAGTTTTGGATACTACGATGCAAGTGAAATTCACGAGCTTCATGACACGTGACGGACCCCCTCGCACCAGCTTCTCCATTCTGTGGCCCCTTACTCCCAAGTTGGCCACTGAGCCTTACGCTTTGTTTCGCCCTCAGAAAAGCGCGCGCGATGGGCATGGCTGTGTTTTAGGTCGATCGAGCCGACCGCACAAATCGAGAAGTTGCTACCGCACGAACTTTGTCGTGTTGGTAGCGGAGCCCCTACGGGGGCTCCGTGAGAGAAAGGTGACAGATGGCCGAGGACGCTGCTTCAGGTTTCGATCTCGATCACACTCCTGCACAATCCTCAGAGCCCTGGACACCTCCCTCACAGAGCCTAGACGATCCAGGACCTCGCTGGCAGTGCACCAGATGCTACCATGATAGGTTTGTTTACTCTGCAGCCCTTGATAGCTGGCGTTGCGTGCAGTGTGGAAGCTTTGAGTATGAAAGTGTTTCATCTAGTTCGTACAGCTGGACCTTTCATCCTGACCCGCCTGAGCCTCCACCTTCATCGACTCCACCAAGGACGCTGTCCTCACCGAGTACGCCTTCGTGGACCCCAGCTCGAGACGATTCCGATCGTCATGCATGGGACTTCGGACCTCCCGACGATTGGTCCGAGGCACACGAAGCAGGTTCCGAGAGCCTGATGACAAACGACCCTGAGGTCGATCCAGAAACCTTGGAGCCTGTGCCACAGAAGAAGAGTCGGCGACAACGCCGTGCAGAACGAAGGGGTGATAAACAACCACCTGATCCTCCAGTACGCCCTGGTCCTCACCTACCTGTTGGTTCCACCAGAGCTCAAGGCCTCCAAGTATCTCCTGCTCCTCAAGTATCACACAGTGTTCAAGTATCACCTGGTCCCCTCGTACCACGAAGTGGCAAAGGAGTTGGATCTGGAGCAGGCAGTGCTGGCCATAGGCCCTTCGCAGGCCCTGACCTGCCACCTGATGGTGGCGATGGTGGAGGAGGACCTTCTTCAAGCAGCAGCTCGCATTGGAACTCCCGCAAAGGGCCGGAGCCGGGAGTGAAGTATCGTGGAGGCACACCTCCGAGCCCTCCTTCCTGGTCCTACAGCCGTGAAGATCTTCGAGCGTTCACCAAATGGGAGCGCAAGGTCCGCGTATGGCAGGTACAGATCAAATCGTACCTACCTGCCAACGAAGCTGCCATGGCCCTGTATGTGAGCCTCCGAGGGGAGGCGGAAGAAGAACTGGAGCATGCAGATTTGTCCTTGATCAACCACAAGGACGGCATCGACTTCATCTTGGACTCTCTGCGCACCCCGTTGATGACTCGTGCAATCTATTTGAAGCGTCGTTATTTGTCGGAGTTCGAACAGCTGAACCGTTTCTCTGGCGAGACGATCAGGAGCTTCTGCAATCGGTATGCTCGCACCGAGCGGAACCTGAGATCTGTCCAGATCAACATCGAGTCCATGTACGATGTGGAAAGCAGAGGCAGCCGCCTCATGGATAGAATGCGAATTTCCTTGGACCAGCAGCGACTTCTGTTGACCGCCGCTGGCAATGACCTTGATGTGCGCAAGGTGAGAGAAGCTGCAATCATCCAGTTCCCCGACCACAGGCCGACACCACCTGTCGTGTTCAGCCGAGAGTTCGACTTTGGGCGAGATCGCGATCGAGGTGGTGATGATCGTACAACACATCCCAAGGGAAAAGGAAAAGGCAGCCACAAAGGCAAGAATAGACCTCGTCAGACCTATGTCACTGAGTATGTCAAGAGCATCCCAGAGGACGACGAAGAGGCAGCCGAGCCCTCAGATGCAGAGCCATTCGATGGTGAAGAAGCTGCCGACGAAGATGCACAAGAGTTCAATGACGAGGAAGAAGCCTTGGAAGACCCTGAACAAGGCGAAGAAGATGAGGACGGCCTACAAGAGGTGATCCAACGCCTCACAGTGACGGCCCGTCGACTTCAGGGCCTCACCCTTGGCCGGAAGTACACCGGCAAACGATCCATCCAGGATCGGAAGAGAACCAGTCACTGCGCCGTATGCGGTGAGCCTGGGCACTGGAAAGGCGATCCAGAATGTCAAGGAGCACCACCGCCCAATGCACAGAAGGCTTCATCAGCCGCACCTCCCAAAGGTTCTGGCAAAGCCAAGACCAAGTCGAAAGACGCCACGAAGAGCGCCAACAGCAAAAAGGTGTATGCGGTGAAGTTTGCGGATGGTGTGACAAAAGAAGAAACCTGTTTGGAGCCTCATGAAGAATCTCATCAACAAGAGCTTTTCGGGACACACTTCACTTTTGTCACAGCATCCTCGTCTCCATGCAGGGCACCTTCAACCAACGTTCCCCAGGTTTTGATGTCCAACCTCGCCAGTTACAATGGGTATATGGTTTTAGATACTGCATGTCAGCGTACTTGCTGCTCCTCATCATGGCTCGAACTGCACACCAAAACCCTCAGCAAGCACCGGTTGAAGCTGAAGGAACAAGACGAGTCAGAAGCTTTCCAATTCGGTCATGGTGAGCCACAATACAGCTTCAAGCATGCCTATATCCCCGCCGGGTTGAACCACACACCTGAGGGTCTTTGTTTGGTTGGTACCAGCGTCCTGCACACCAATGACAACAACAAGATCCCCTTGCTGGCTAGTAACAACCTGCTCACACACCGGCTTGAGGCGATCATCGATCTTCCAAGCCAGCAGCTCGTATGCCAGGCGCTTGGGTGTACGATTCCGATCGTTCAGGTTGATGGTCATTTGGCAGTGCGCATTGATTTGTTTCCTGCACAAGTTCACACCTCACATGTTTGGAAGCAGTTGAGTCAAGAGGACGTTTGGCAAGATCCAGATTCTGAGTTGATCCTTTGTTCGCAGCAATCTGCGGCCATCAAGGATTTTGACCTTCAGGCCTCAACCTCCAATGCCTCGGCAAGCTCCTCCTCCTTGGTTGCAAGCATGGCGGCGGCTAGCCCTGGCATTCATCGACTTCGAGATCACCCTGGTGAGGTTCATGCTGCGCTGCACGAACTTGGGTATCCGTCCAAGGGGATGGATTGCGCACCAGGATCCTATGAATGTGGACACGTTCCAGAGCCTGCAAGACATTGCCATGCAGCCCTGCAAGCATCCGGCACAGATGATTCAACGAAGCGGCAACAAGCACGGCCGGTATGCAAAGTGTCGGGACTGCGGCATGAAGTGGACATGGAACGAGAAAAAGCAGGCATGGGACGAAGCACCTTTCGGAAAACCCTTGTCGCTGCCATTGCCCTCTTCGGAGAACTCATCGGTGGTTATGATGCCATCTTCAACAGCAGAGGCACGAGCAGTGGCGGACAAGCCACCGATTCCACTGACGAGCACATCGGCGTCCTCAAGTATGGTACCACTGGGACCTCCTTTGATGGCACCTCGGGCCAAACCCAAGACCCAGTACTTCAACATCAGCAAGATGGCCAGTCGACGTCGCAGTTCATGCCCCAAGAGGAGGAGGACTCCGAGCTATTCCAGACACCCGAGAAGGAGCAGTTAGTAGAGGAGGACTCAGTGGACGAGTACGCATGGGATCTGATATGAAGAAAGGCAGCTACACGTGGCTCACCGGACACCTTCGGCATCACCAACGTCTCTACGAGAATGAGGTGGCCACGTATGACAAAATTCCTGCCTATATCAACATTGTAAAGTATGACTCGAAGATCGACCTGTTGGAACTCTTTTCAGGTGCAGCGCGTTTGACATCGACTGCATTCCATTTTGGCCTCAACGCCATCCAGCCCTTCGATCTTCGAGAAGGAATTGACCTGTCATCGGAAGCAGGTCGGAAGTTGGCAAAGCATGTGTTGCAGCACCACAAGCCCCTTCTTTTGCACGTGGCGTGGCCATGTCGCCTTTGGAGCTTGTTCAACGAGAACATGAACTGGTCGCATCGCTTGCATGAGTTGGAAGCCCTTCGTGATGAAGAGCGAGAACTGGTGCGCTTCACTGTCGGCCTTTGCAAAGAACAACATGCTCAGGGGAGGCTTTTCTTGGGTGAGAATGTGTTGAGATCAAGGCTTTGGCAAGAGCCTGACATCCTTTCCTTGGCAGAGCTCGACAATGTGAGCACCAGCGTATGTGATGCCGGTGCATATGGAGCTGAAACTACCGATGGCTTCCCTATGATCAAGGCCCATCGATGGATCTCCGACTCGCCGACCATTTTGGCAGAGCTGAGTCAAAAGTTGACACCAGAGCAAAAGATGTACACCAAACCCATCGAGGGCAAGGACACAAGCCACAGCGGAGAATACTGCCAAGGACTCGTGAATGCAATTCTCCGCGGACTACAACGCGAAGCTCGACTGAGGAATCCTGCTCGTTTCCAAGTTGCCAAGGATGCTTTCTTTGTACGACCTCTGGCAGATGAGCAGCGTTGGCGCGCCGTCCTTGACACTTTGGACAAGCGCTTTGAGAACACCTACACCCGCGCCTTCGACCTGAACAAGAGCGACCCCATCTACACAGAGCTGATGAACCTCATCCCATGGCATCTTGAGAAAGTTCAAGTGGCTGTGACACCAGCCGCACGACGTTGGCCTGCTTTCAAGATTCCCTTCACTCATCGTGGAGCAGCTCTCAAGATGGCAGATGGCAAGATCATTGTCGAAGCAGAAGATTTGGCAGCTGTCAACTATCCACAGCAGAGGTTCGCACAGCCTGTTCGACTGGGCATTTTCTTCTTTGGTAACGCCCCTGAGGATGAAGAGATGCCTTCAACGGAGTCGCCGCCTGACTCTGGAGAATCGGTTTGGTCCAAAACCGACCTTTCAGCCACTCGACTGCAGACCACTAAGCGTGGAGGACCTGCCTGGCACACAGTGACCAGGCGTGTGACAAAGGACAAGAACACCGGCGAGTTGATCCAAGATCTTCGAGATCCTATGAACCAACCAGACCGCCTCGTTCACAAGAAGCTCAAGAAGGCCACCGACATTGAGACCTTCTTCTACCACCAACCTCCAGCCGAGGAGGCAGAGATGGCTGAAAACCCAGGAGCTGCGGAAGATGGACCGGACGCGGAGGAGGCGTGCGGTTTTCCTTCCAGCACCCTGGTACCAAACATGAAGACAGATATTTGGTTTGAGAACCCTCCACCTGGCTTGACCTCATCCATGAAGGCTTCTGTGGCAAGATTACATTGCAATTTGGGTCATGCTCCAAAGGAGGAAGTGGCACGGCTACTGGCAGCTTCGAATTCATTGTCACCCAAGCTTTTGTCCGCTTTGGATGCTTTGCGGTGTGGGAGCTGCATCAGAACAGGCCGGCCCAAGAGACCAACTACTTCGTCTACCAGCACCGTCTACGCCGGCTTCTTTGGAGAAGTGCTTCAGGCGGACATCGTCTACCACCGACTCCTCACTGGCGAGACCATTCCGGTGCTTGGCGTGGTTTGTGAAGCCACGAACTACCATGCGGCCAAAGCTTTGGCCAATCGCCTTCCGGCGACAATGCTGGAAGCACTGATTGAGATCTGGTACCGGCCACTTGGACTACCTCATCGGTTCAGGTGCGATCCGGATGGAGCATTTCAAGGTGAAGTTGCAAGATGGCATGCCACTCACGGCATCATGCACGAGATTGTGCCGGCCGAGATGCACAACCGGATCGGCAAGATAGAACGTCGGAACGCTCTTCTTCGCACTTTGTTGGAGCGTTTGACCGATGAACATGCCTGCCACACTGTGGACCACCTACAGCATCTCATTGTGGCGGCCTTGTACTCCCTCAATGCTTGCACCTACACCTACGGCCGCAGTCCATTTCAGGCCGTGTTCGGCAAGATTCCAAGGCCTCTGGGCGATGTGGTGAGCGATGAACTCGTTTTGGTTTACTCGCCCGATGACATCGAGCGGACCTACAAGCCCGAGATCCTGAGAGCAGATGCTTTGAAGATTCTGGCTGAAACGAGTGCAAGCCAGGCCATGAAGAGAGCATTGCTTCGCAAAACTCGGCACACTCAGGACCTCAGCTCACTACAGCCTGGACAGACAGTGGCATACTGGCGCTGGAGTGGCAAAGCTCGCCAACTCAAGCGTGGCTCTTGGAACTTGGCTAGGTTTTTGGCCTATGATCCTGACCGACGCAGCTGCTGGATTCAAGTGAATGCGCACGCCTTGAAGGTGGCTGTGAGCCAATTGCGAGTGGCTAGCGGCTGGGAGACCTGGTCGCCCTCAGCGGAAGATGTGAAGTTCCTCAAGGACGCGGAGAAGAACCTTCGTGATGGTTTGTGGAAAGATTCAATTGAAGGTCCACCAGGCGAGCATGAAGAGCAGTTCGCTGATGAGGCCACAATGGAAGAAGTTCGACAGTTGGCGCCTGAGACGCTTCCCAGAAGCCGCGACTACTGGCAGCTCACCGACGCAGGTGCCGTGCGAGTACATGTTGAACCTCGGCATGAACTTTATGTTCCACAACCACAAGATGAATGTCCTCTGCCCCTCGACACCTTGGCAGACGACAGACAGACCTACATCCACGACCTTGAAGAGCAGCCTGAGATCGACCAGTGGCGTGATGAGAGATCTGCAAAGTTCTACGAGCAGCCTTGGACAGGCACCACAACATTTTTCCGGAAGCGATTGCCCGTTGAAGTGGCCAGCCCTGAAGTACCTGCTGAAGGCACAATGCTTCCATCGACGGCTTTACCACCAACAGGTCTTCGTCTTCCAGTACCTCAACGATCTGAAGACCGTGCTGCTGTCAGCCCTCAAGTGATTCAGCAGCAACAGCAGAACTATGACCAGCGACGGGTCACCATCAATGTGAGTTCGCCAACATACCAACAGTTTGGCGCGCCCGCGACACCAATGCCTCCAACTCCAAGAAGGAGAATCGCCAGATCCCGTTCACCAGCACCAAGAGTCAAGCTCACGCTTGAACAACCAGCTACACCGGCACCAGCTGAACAATCAGCTCTCAGAGATGCAGATGAAAAACAAAGACCAGCATCTGCACCTCTCACACCTGCAGCAGGAGAAGCAACCGAAAACAGTGGAAACACCCCGGCTCCAGAGCAAGCCACAGCTTCAGCAAGCGCCGGTCAAGGAGATGGTATGCCCACTGAAGCACTCCTGCCCGACATGCCGGCCAAAAGGCCCTTTGACGCTATGCTGGCGTCGGTGATGTTCACGCACCGATGGGACATCTTCGACGACAACACCATGTGCCTGAAGTTCCCAGGCTTTGACGGAAGCCCTGACACTGTTGGCTTCCACAGATCACAGATCTACATGACTTTCTACCTCAACAGCGTCCAGCGGGAGCAAGAGGTGAAAGATGGAGACCCCAAAGTCTCCGATGCTGAGACCTCTGATGATGAGCAGTTGACCCTCAGCAATGTCAAGGTGAGAACCCGCCAAGAGCAGAAGCAATATGAAAAGGAGATTCCATGGCGTTCCATCATGCTGATGGATAAGATGACCATCGACAAGTACATCCTTGCCATTCAGAAGGAGTTCGATGGCTGGCAGCGATGGTCCGGAGTGCAACCCGTACCCTCCGATGAAGCTGAACGGATCTTCAAAGACCGCATTTTGCGGCGACGAGTGCTGCGCTCTCGCATGGCATACCGCGACAAGAACCGCGGTATCGGCGCCCTGGCTGCTAAGGCTCGATGTGTTTTGATCGGCTGCGCAGATCCTGACATCACCTCCCTGAGTAGAGATTCACCAACACCTTCACGGACCTCCGAGTTTTTGCTTCTCGCCATTTTGGCCTCCGGCTCCAACAGAAGATTCAACGGCACTTCAGAGAAATGGTTTTGTTGGATTTCAGACGCCAAGAATGCCTTCCTCCAGGGACAACAAGCGACTGAGGAAAGGAACAATCAGCCGCTTTATATGCAGCCTCCTGAGGATCCTTTGGTGAAGCAGTCTGGCTGCTTCGCAGCCAAGCTCTACCTGGTGACAGGAAACTGCTACGGGCTTGCTAACGCACCTCGCGTTTGGTACAAGCATGTTTGTTCAGTGCTGCGCAAACACGACTTCAAGATGCACGACCTGGACCGTTGCTTGTTTTACCACACCTCACTGCACTCAGGTGAGGAAAAGATAGACTGTGCGCTGATCGTCCATGTGGACGATTTTTTGGCAGTTTACTCCGAAAGCTTCAAGTTGGAAGCCCTTGAGAAATGCTGGAATGGGGCAGTGTGACCAAGCTTGACGGCAGCAACAAGGGCACCTACAGAGGCAAGGAGATCACCCTCTATGAAGAGCAGAACGAATGGAAGGTGAAAGTGACACAGCAAGAGTTCTGCAAAACGATGGAGCCACCTCGACCTGTTCCTGGCAAGATGGACCAGAAGCTCACGGTTGAAGGCTGGAAAGAATTCCGGTCGATGGCTGGATGTTTGCAATGGGTTGCTTCGCAAAGCCGCCCGGAGCTTGCTGCTGTGACAAGCCTCTCGAACAAGGGAGGCGAAACATGTTTCAGAGATCTCAAGAACTTAGGTGAAGCTTTGCAGTTCACTATGGCCACCATGGACTCCGGCATAGTGCTGCCTGGCATCCACCTGAACAAGAACACCATAGTGCTGGTGTACGCAGACTCCGCATGGGCAAATGCCCTCAACTTCAGCAGCCAATATGGCGTCTTGGTGACGCTGTGCCCTCCTGAGGTCACTGAGACCGTGACCCCTTTTGTTTTGACCGACTGGAAGTCGGGTCGCAGCCCTAGGGTGTGTAGATCCACTTTGGCTTCAGAAGCCGTGGCAGCTGATGAAGGCACCGATAGAGGATGCCATGTGAATGCTTGCTTGAGCGAGCTTTTGTACTTGCAGCCAGCTCATAAATTGGGCTGCAGAATGCCACAGAAGCAGATTTCCGACTGCAAAAGTCTTTATGACTGTGTGGTCAGTGAGAACCCTTCGGTCAGCGACCGAAGAAGCCTGCTCCAAATCAGGAGCGTACAGCAGTCGATAGCACCCGCTGACATGCATTGGGTGCCGACTGAAAAGATGCATGCCGACGGCTTGACGAAAGAAGACAAGCGGTTGAGAGACAACCTACAAGCTTGGCTTCAAAGCCCATGGTCGCAGTTGCGGGAGGCTGGTGCTTCGAAAACAAAGACCAGTGAAATTCACGAGCTTCATGACACGTGACGGACCCCCTCGCACCAGCTTCTCCATTCTGTGGCCCCTTACTCCCAAGTTGGCCACTGAGCCTTACGCTTTGTTTCGCCCTCAGAAAAGCGCGCGCGATGGGCATGGCTGTGTTTTAGGTCGATCGAGCCGACCGCACAAATCGAGAAGTTGCTACCGCACGAACTTTGTCGTGAGCAAGAAGATGGGCCAGCATGCCAGCAGTTGCCGACGTTATGTTTTTGCCTTCAAGGGTTCAAAGGGGTTGTTGTAAGCAATTCTGAGAACAGCAAAGATTCTTTGCTTCAAGCCTCGCAAGATTCAGTTTCCCAATGTGTCAAAGACATTCAAAGACCATAGGTCATAGGTCCAAAGATACAACAGTCAGATATCAATTTCACTTTGTACCCAGCCGGATATTTCTGAAGCATTGCCTCAATTGCCTCGCAGCGTGCCTGAAGCTTTGCCTCCCACAGAGTTTGTGCTGGAAGAGTTTGCTGAAAGGATACTGAAACCCGATGAGAAAGTCGAGGACCGCCATGCTGGGGTGAACCGACGGCGGCCTTCGCCAGCTAAGCGAAGAGGTGGCTAGGAAGTTCGTGAGTCGGCGTTCGCGAGACGCGGAGCGAGACACGGAGAGAGACGCGGAGCGGTCGGTTTGGGATGTGAAGGGAACATGACGAAGGGAAAGTGACGAAGCCTACAGTCCCAACTCACACACTGTGCTAAAGGTGTGGATTCCAAGAGGTCACTAGCCAGGATGTGTTGACAAAGAGCAGAAATGCTTGCGTTTTTGGAGATACCTGGAGGATCAGTACGAATTGCAGAAATGCCTCCACGATGTCGGCAGCCAGAGCCTGACGCTGCTTTCAAGCTGTGTAGATATGTGCAGATATGTTCCAGAGTCTGATTTGTTTAGAGATTGAAGGCTTGGGAAGGTGCTTTTGAGCCAGGCAGTCCAACATTTTCAGAACCCTCAACCATGATTATTCAGCTCAAGATCATTCAAGATCCGTATAGAATATACTTTTGTTTTTATTCTTTTGATTTGCTGAAACCACCAATACCTGTCGTATTTAAACATATTACTAACTCCATTGATGCACGACCTTTTTATAAGTTACTCATTTAGATCATTTCGCATCATTCATTCTCCGTTCGTTCGACCGTGGCAGACCCATAGCTTTCACCGACCTCTGCCCTGCTTCACCACGTGGTCATGGAAGTTCAAAATGCATGTTTTGCTCAAAAAAGAATCCCACACTCGCCAAAAACGATAACGTGACGGTTGTGAGAAAAACGATAATACACTCACCAAATCCTGATGAACTGCAACTCCACAACAAAATTTGACAATCGCTCATGTGGAAACTGAGGTCAGACGCAGGTTTGGAAGGCGATCTACAAGCCGAGCGGTGAGGATGTGCCACCTGGGCCGCAGAATGGGAACAGAGACGATCGAGCAATACGATTTTCTCCATTTTTGGATTGCAAAAGCCTCTGGTTAACCTCACGCCCCCATGAATCTCAAGACCTCTTCATATGTCTTTTGATGAATCAAGAGTCAACATCAGACATCCAATCTGAACATCATCTGGACATTTGTGGATGTGTGTGGTCAAAGTGTGGGGACCTTGATTGATGGCATTTGGGCGCAACCTGAAGGCCAACATGAACGACAAAAGTGTGCACCATGGTCCAGGGGGGTCTGGGTTTTGATCCACAATGTTTTGAACCCAGCATAGGATTGAAGGGGAGTCAGACGGAGCCCGAAGAACCAACCTGAATCAACATGACTTGGCGCAGACGAAGTCCATGGTGACTGGGGATTCTTTCTGTTCAGACCCTTTGGAGCCAATTCGTGTTGCTGACTTTGGTGATCGCTGTCGCATGCAGCTTTAAGCTCAACACCGAGATTCGGCCCAGGATTGTCAAGATGCGTGCCAGGCAAGTTGTGTCCGGAATGGTCGGGGCTTTGAAGGAGGAACACGTGGTCAGATGAATGGCCAAGAAAGGATTTTGAAGAACTAATTACTAATTTCGATGGTTTGTCAGTCCGATGAAAAATCCATGCATGTCTGATGAATTCGAGCCATTTCGACGTGACATGAGAGAACATGCAGCGTAACATGCACCAGCATGGCCAGGAACTTTGCCGTGGGCGGGGAGACTGTGGGGGCCCTTGAACAGTAAAGTTTGGCTGCGAGTTTGGGAGGCAGTTCTGGATGATCTCCAGGCGGTCCGGGGTCCGTGGTGATTCTCTTTTTCTTTCGCCGAGGTGTGGCAGTCCCTGTTGACGCGGATGCTGAACCTGGAGGGTCACCATAACGTCTTGGGATTGAAAGAAGTCAGAGGCCCCAGGATCTGTCTTCAGTGGTTGGAGTGATGCTGAGTGGCGCTGGTGATGTGTTGGGCATTTGCTGCATTCGCCTTGTGTTTTCCAACATTTGCGGATCCTAGCCCGATACAATTCAGGTCATTCAGGACGAGAGGAACTACTACATTGTAATGGTCGCCCTGACTTTACTTTCTGCATCTTTCTGCATGAGTTATATGTTTTGTGGTGGAACATGATTTTTTTCCTACCATTGACTCAGTTTTTGTTATTTTTTTGCACATATGGCTAATATATAGCCGCTAGCCAGCCGTTGCCTTTACACATTGACTCAGCTAGAGCATTTGGGACATGTTTCCACTCAAACAAGCCCGCCATTCCACTCAAGCAAACCTCCCAAAGCTTCCCTTTTCGCAGTGGTTGTTTAGAGCTGCAGGACGATCTGACCACCCCAAAACTGCCGACCTGAACCCATATATACGCCTCTATCCTCTACTCCAAACAAACACTTGCTTCATTCTTTGCCATTCTTTGTGCATGATACACTAATACACACGGTGTTTTCGCCAGACCCGCTGTAGCGGCGGAGAGCTCTTCGACTTCCTCCAGACTGAAACGGACCGAGCGAAACTGTGGGCGTGGGGTGGCACTACCAGCAGATCATACACCTTGCAGACAGCAAGGTACTATTCCACCTGTTTCCAACCCCTTTTGGCCTCATCAATGTGACCTTGGCTAACAACAGGAATATCTGAAGGCCACCGTGGTTCGTCAGTCTAGAGCAGTCGATCTATGTCCTGTTCCAATTGACACCTCCGGCTTCCGCACGCACTCTCGGATTGACCAATCCGATCGCTCGATCGATGCAGGATGTCCCAGAGCGGGAGTGTAAGCGGATCATGCGAGAGATCCTAGAAGCGGTGGACCACATCCATTCCAGGCTCCATCGTTTCGGTCACGGCCAATGACCGTTATTTCTGAAAGCGAAGCGTACCACCAAGCTGCGCTTTGCTTCATGACCCTTTAAAGAGAGACGTCAGACACGGGGCAAGGGGTGACGTCCGATGTGGGTGGAGCCAAGGGGGTTCGATTCGCCACATGGGCCCCCCCCCCCACAGCAGTCGCCACATGCCGCGACTCATCGAAAGATGAGGAAAAACAGAAGAAAACTCTGGAAAGGGGATGGGTCAAGAGGTGCGACTGTTCAGACTGATCTGTTTCGGGGCGCTTCTTTGCTTCAGATTTTCAGTGTTCGGTTGCGCCTGGGGAGTGAAAAAAGAGTTGCGGACCTCTGCAGGGGCTTGATCCACCGCGACATCAAGCCAGTGCCTGAGTGGACCCAGTTGGAGAAGCAGATGCGGCGCACGGTCACATGGTGTCAAGTTGTCAAGTCACTACGCCACAAAGCTTACAGTACTCAAAGACACTCAAAGACTACTACCAAATGGAAAGGCGTCTCTTCAAAGGTTCTTGAGCTTTTGCTAGGCCGGAGAACATCATGTTTCACGACACTTCCAACGAGCCGAACTCTCCGAAGACGCCGGCGAGCAAGAAGCCGGGGGCCCAGTGGTGAATGTGAGCCCTGGAATCTGATGGATGTCCCAACACCGAAGACATAGGGCGTTTTATGGCGTTTTCGCGGTCGCTGGTCACGCTCAGGGCCGTGAAGCTGATTGACTTCGACACCTGCTTAGAGTGCGCTGGAAGCCTTTTTTCCATGTGCAAGGTCGGAGAAGAGATTGCTTTGTCCAAGAATGTTCTAGATATCATTGGCAACTTTGTTTGGAACCTTTTTCTGAATTCTATTTTGATGCCTTGGGGCAGGGGACTTCGCAGCCTTTGCCAGATTCACCCGACGTTTTGAACCAATTCACAGGCACAGTTGGATGAAAGTAATTCCCTTCTTGACAAAAGTATAGTATTAGCAGACCCACAGTTTCAACCGCACTAAAAGCTGTTTTCCCTCCAACCCGTAGCCTACCGCCCCCCGGCGGTTTCGGTGTTTCGAGGTACGAGCCGAAATCTCCACGGGCCAAACACGTCGTGGGCACCCTGGGCCGTGCACCGAGACAGAGGGCCATCTGATGGGCGTCGTCGCAAGAAGCAGCTTCTTGTCACTAGTAGTAAGGCACTTGTTACTAGAAGCGATGCACTTGTTCCTAGTAGCTTCTTGCTCCTAGTAGTAAGGCCCTTTGTTCCCTAGGTCGGGGAGTTTTCCAATGAGATCAGGTATTTGATTGACTGAGACTGAGAGACCTAGAGGAAGTTATGGCAGACATCTGGAGTCTGCTGAGATATCTTCAAGGTTTCATCTGTCAAGGGGAGGTGGTTTAGAGATTGAGTTCTAGTTGAGTTCGAGCATCCCTTCTCGCATTGAACTGTAGGGATAAGAACAAAGAAGGAGAGTGGTTGTGCCTACTCTTGGGACAGACCAGCAGAGGGGGCTCTTTTGGATCGACCGGCGATGCTGGCATTTTCAGGCTCCTGCCAGGCTCCTCCTCCCCCAAAAAACGGAATCTCAAGATCTTGGTTCTCGAAGCAACGAGCTCATTCGCGCCGAAAAAAAGGGATCCACCCTGACCCGATCCTTCGCGCCGAGGCTACTTGGCCCCGGAGGCGTTGCAAGGCGACTATTCGCCCGCGCGCGGGAGCCGAGCGGTTCGACAGGCACCGAGCGGTTCATGGCCGTTCGAGTCTTTTCGAGGCGTTTGAGGTGCAAGAGAAGGCCAAGCATGCAAGCATGGACACCACTTCACATGGAAAACACCGACCAAAAACACCCTCACCGACCCAAAGCGACCACACCAAAGACACCCTTCACCGACCGCTGGAGTCACGGTGCCACTCCACGCACACCTTGGCGCACCACTTGCGTCACCGAACCGGGTCACCCCGCGCAGCCACCGGAACCGGAACCGGGACCGAGGTCCGACTTATGGAGCGTGGGAGTGATCCTGTGCGCCGGAAGAGTACGAGGGTTACGAGGGTTACGAGGGTTACGAGGACAGCCGAGAGGTTTTCTATTTTCCCCTTTTGGGCGGGTCCGACCATCTATGCCATGAAACATGAATAGATATGAATAGACATGAATAGACCCACAACCGTATCGCCGTATCGTGTTGTGTGTGGTGTGAAGACGTGGAAGACGCAGAAGGCGAACATATTGGGGGATCTTGGGTGTATTCGCCATGTTTCAAGGTGGACGAATTGAGCGAATTCAAGATTCCAGCAGCGAAGTCTTGGATGTGCTTGCTAAAAGGCTCTGGGGGGACTTCTTGTTGTTTTTTCCTTGTCTTTTTGTACGATCGCTCCAAGGATTGCCAAGGATTGTCAAGGATGTTTTGGCTCAAAATTGACCAAGTGCGAAGTTCTCCGGCGTTTTCGGGGCCATCGATCTGCAGCGACCTGCAAGGTACATACTAATGACCGGGGACATGCCCTTTGATCAGGACTGCTATCGCTCTGTTATCAGCTGCACTGTGGCTGCTTTGTGGCTTTGCATGGATTCTGCTGTTCCTTCGTACGAGCTACCTCTCACCTCGTGGCGATACCACGAAGATGGGTCCCTATAACCGTGGCGATACCTGTCAGGACGTGTTTGGAGAGCAGCTGCGGGATACCCGTCTGGGAGCTTAGGGTTTGGAGATACCTGTCTGGGAGGTGTCTGATTGGCCTGGCCTCGCAGGCCTGGCCTCCTACAGCTCTTTTGGAGCCCGCTACAATGGGAGGTGTCGGAGTTCTGGGTTCGGGTGCTCAATGAGTTCTTCTTTCAGCGCTTTCAAGGAAGGCAACACCTGGAGGAAGTGAGGCCCCCGGGGGCGAAGGCGCCGTGGTCTCGACCGCCTCTGTCTGGGGGAAAACGGCGACGATTCGCCCCATCTGGACGCTGAATCCTGGTGACTGAGCTGATGAAGCCGGGTCACCTTCTGGGGATCCAGCCAATCCTTCTTGTGACAAGGAGGGTGATGACTCACCCATAGACCCAAAGACCTGAACGAACAACCACGAATCAACGGGATTCAACAAATGGACAAGCCCTTGACCTGGTAAAGAGCCACGAAAACACCAGCCACTTCGAAGAGCAGCCTGTTGCTTCAACTGAGGTTGTGGCAGTGCAACGATGAACTCCATCTACTACAAACTGCAGCATGTCACGGCCCCTGGCTTTTCACATCGCCATTCGCAGGGAACTGACACTTGGGTGTCCTTCTTTGGAGGTCTCTTTGCAAGAGGTGCAGAGGTCAAGGACCCAAGACCTGCCGATTGAGAGATGCCGCCACTGTCCCGCAGCACTGGAGGTGTTCAAAATGCACGCAGATTTGCCACGAAAGCGTTAGATTTCCAAAGTGGTGCTTTGGTGCTACTTGTGTGCAGGACAAGTGTTCCAATGAGGTGATCGGAATTTGCTGTGCATATCAGCTGTGACCCGTCATTGACGTGCAACCATGAACCTGCATAGCCATTGAATCGCACACTCTTTTTGAACAACTGATAGTAGCCCAGCTCCACCTTCCAGATCCAAGCCACCTCCTTTCGCTTCAAGACGTCTTCGCACCGACAAAGCAATTTCATAGCTCACCACAGTCACCGAACATTTCCACAGTCAGCCCCACGGTATCTGACAGAGTTTTCGGCCAATTGAGCACCGGTGCTTGTGCCATGGAGAGCGAATTGGAGTGGATCCGTGAAGAGGAGGAGCTGGTTTGATCTGGCACTTTGGATGGCTCGGTATGTTGCCCGCATGTGCATGATTGCATGAACATAGTTTATTGTATGATAGGGTTGGGCTAAGAAGATGTTGGAAACCATTGGAAAACACGGTAGATGAAACAGGGACGGGATGACCTCTCCTAGAAGATCACCGTGGGCCCGGCCCCTCTTCGCGCGACTGGTCCAGGAGCCCCTCATCGAGGAGATGCGACAACTCCTGGGGCCCCTGGAGGAACTCCCCGAGGCGAAGTGGCGGTGAGGAGACGACGGGAACAGCACGGTGACGTGCTGTGCATGCCTTTCACAGGCATTCTTTTCTTTTTCTTCCCCAACAGATGGACTGGGAAAGAATGGCTTCGTGATGCACCGGATCCCATTCCGACATGAGATGCCAAGAGGAACGAACGAGGTCGATCTGCTCATCTCCTGAGGTCACACCCTGTTTGTGTGGCCATTTCAGCGCTCGCGACACGAGGGCAATCGAAGTCGACCGCACCGAGGACTTGGTGGATGATCTCTGCTTCTGCCGTTTCCTCCGAGGCGCCTCGGGACCGAGGTTTGGATCCAAAGCCTCGGTGTTGCGACGAACTCCAGCAGTTTTCTTTTCTGCTTCTTTTGGAGGGTTCCGACGCATTCGTCCACGCAACGGGTCTGAGAGGATCTCCGGTTCCGCACCACATACTCGAGGCCATGGGAACAACCCCAAGGAGGCAGCGCAGTACATGGGGAAGGCGCCCGGAACGCAGAGTTTGGATGATGGGCCGGTCGAAAAGCCGCACGAACGTCACGACTTGCGCAGAAAGGTTTGACAACAAATACCGTTCGACACTTTACATAGACGGTTATACAAGACATTGCAAGGTGATACGTTCGATGAACAACAGTCAGAAGAGGCGGAAGCCGTTCAACGGTTTGGACCTCGTTCAAGATTCATCCAAAAGCCACTCACACTGAGCCACACTGTATCCCTTTGTCGTTAAGCTGATCAGTTTGAGGTCCTCGAAAGGTGGTTAGGTGGTTAGACCCGAGGGGTTAGAGTTAAAGTGGTTTGAAGTATTATGTTTTACTCGTACCTCTGAAAAGAGTCCCAAGATATCCGATATCCCAAGATGAAAATATATAAATACTAAATAGTTCTTGGCCAATCTCAGCAGAGGTGTCTCCACCGAGGAGGGTGGTCGAATTCAAAGAAACCAGCCATGGGCGGTTCAACCACGTCACCCTCGCCCAGGCCATCGACTACCGGCACCTGGGCCGACATTCGGGTTTGATCGACCGTTGGTGGAGGACGAACGCGGAGGGACTTGGTTTCGCACAGATCGATCAAATGTGACAGCAATATGACAGTATTGGATCCATCTACCCGATCTTGAAAGACACGTTCAATCATGTTCAACACGAGGTTGATGGATTCTCACAGGTTTTCACATCAACATGGATACATTTCTTCAAAGCTGATCAAGCTGGGTATCATAGAGCTTTTATGGGTGGTTTTGCACCCGGGCTTCCAAGAATGCTTTTGGAGCTCGTGGCTCTTTGTCACTTTCCAGGCTGGAGTTGATTAGCAGATCGCCCATCAAGGAGCTGCCTGCTGGTTCTGTGTGCGGGTTTGCCGGAGCCATTTGCGCATGACCAAATGATCACCAGAAACAGTTTGAACGTCGCTCAGTTGGATCTCCCGTCAGATAGGCCCACTGGGTCAACTCATCCGATGTTGGATCATGTTGGATCTTGATTTATGCCAAGATTCCCAAGATTCGAGGTGTTCCAAGATGTCCTCTCATTGGAGTCAACGAAACTCTGTGGCAACACGAGATGGTTTCTAGCGGTTGCAGAGGGCCTCATTGCGGGTCTCCACACCCTTGCATTGGAAATGCCATGGACTTGTTTTCTCTAGGGGAAACGTTCTTTCGCGTATCAAACATGCACAGAATGGGCGGGGGCCCGAGACGAGGTCTACCAGTAACATCACTGACAGACAATCATCTACCGGAATTCAGTTCGGGTCGTGGGAGACTGGCGCCCAGTGGTGCGGGCTTCAGACCTGCGACCTCAAACGCAGGAAGTCAGAGAGGAAGTCCTCAACGCCACAGAGATGGATCTCAATGTCCTGCCCAGAGCAAACGAACTGCCCCATGGCATGCCATGGCTGAACGGAAAGATCATGTGCTTTTTTCACTTCACCTCCCTTTCCGTTTCAACTCATTCCGTCTCAGGTCAGCAGGTATTTGATCTGACCAGGTTCCGCTAGAGGCAACGATCTTTTTTTCTTTTTTCCGAGAGCTTACCTAGAGATGTCCAAACCATGCAAACAATCAACAATTCAAGGCCTTTGCATATTTTCGATCCACTCGCTTGGAGTTACCTGCTGGGAAGATTTGACTGAAACATATGGTATCGGAACTTTATATAATATTCAGTCAAGTCTGGTCTATGTCTAACACATAAAAATGTATTAGTCAGTCAGTTAGTCTTTGTTTTATTTTTATGTGGTTTAGCCAGTCTAAGGTTTGGATTGCTTTAGCCTATGTTGGTTTATAATTTGCATTTGTATAAGATAAGTTCTTTCCCAATGAATGGCTGCGGGAGACCCTATTGGGCACCACTATTGAGCCATACTCAGACTGCTAAAGCAAACATCGCTACCTTTTGATTGGCCACCTGTCCGTCGGTCGCTCATCCAACGTTGCCAAGGCTGCCATGCTTCCCAGTTAGAGTCATCAACGGGCGCTCCATGAATGCCTTGCCCATCATTGCCTCCGTGGTGCCTCGCCATCTGATTTTGGGACAGATCACGGACCCAGACCAACCACACAGCGGACGGCTGCAGGCCTTGGGGTCTATTTTGGCTTGGAGCATTACCGTGAAGAACTATAGTGACTACATTCCCATCCCAACATGAACCTCTTAGGACCACTTGTGTCCTTGAGCCAGTGACTCACCGTTTCCCGCGCGCACGGCTCGGCTCCCGTCGGCTCCGCTCCGCGGTCGTGAGGTTCGCCGGGTGGATTTCGAGACGTTGGAGAGAGCCCCTGGGCGAGCACCAACTGGTGGGAACCGGGAACCGGAGAGTCACCAGCCGAGCAAGTCAGGTCCTTTTTTGAGGGGGGTGCCAGAAGAGCGCCTCCTGCGAGAGCTCGAGGTTTTTGGTCAGGTTTGAGGCTCGAAGCGAGAGCCGAAATGAGCATGAAAAGAGTTCCTCACCGGATCCAAGCAATGCTCTTTTGTTTTCGATAGGATCATTCTTCAGAACCAATGGTCCTAATGGTCTGCTCACCTTTACATGCGTTTGTCATTCGTCTCGCTCCGTTCCCGCTCAGTATGGCGACGAAGCTCGACGCTTGGCCGAATTGAGTTCCAACAGCCGAAGAGTTGGGGAGGCCTTTTGAAGTCGATGTTTTGTTGGGGGTCTTTCTGAGGATCTGAGTTTCACCCAGTCAAAGTCCCTAGTTTAGGGGCCATGGAGGACTTTCAGGCCATGTTAGGAAAAAAGAACGCATGTGCAGGCCACACAAAACCCACAGTTTCCCAGGCCGTTCGCCCTTTAGGAGATGACTTCTTGCTATCCCAGCTGGAGCAACGCTGGCTGGTGCTACACAACCTCAGCAAGAAGCAGTGCCCGAAGCGAATCAAGTTGGTGGTGCCTGTGAAGGCGGAGGAAACCTGCGTCAGCTAGGGGGTTCGGGAGTCTGGCACGCCCAAGTTGGCTGGAGAAAGTGTTGGATAGGCTCGCATTTCTTGCTTGGTTGGCTCATTGGTCGCTTCTGGTTTACATCACTGAAAAGAATCGCTGCCGGATACCGTCAAGAGAATAAGCCCACTTGGGTGACCTGGGTGTGTTGACAGCCTATAGTCCAGTTCTGGTACTTGTTTCTGAATTACCCAGCTAGGACACATGTTGTCTGTGAGACACCTGCCATGCTCAACCTTTGTGGATGCCCCCGTTGACGTCCGTGCATCGAGGGTACCAATGGGTTCCCCATGCTGGTGCCAAAGCTGTGAGACGCGGGTGATCGTTGATGTCATTTTTTTGAACCAGGAATACAGGGTGATACACTTTTGCCCACACCCATTGCCCTAGCTTTCGTTCAACACCGTGGGCCTCCCTCTGATGATGATGTGGCCTTTGTGCGTGGGCCATTGGTGCGGGGGATGAACCTTTGCGAAAACAACGATTTTTCTCTGCGCACAGGGTTTTAGACCTGCAATGATTTCAATGGATATTAGCAATACGGATATTTTTGGGGGGGTTTGGCATGGCTTAAAGTTTTGGTCTGAAACTCAACACGTCTACTCCAAGGTTGGGTGAGGGAAAAGAGTTTCGATTCACCTGGCTTCCCTTGACGGATTTGGGTCAAAGTTGTTTTGTTGTTCATGAGACCAGAATTCGGCTGTGAGATCCTGTTGGTCAAAACCCAGAGCCGCAAACTGATCCTAAACCTTGATAGGCTGACCTCCAGTACAGTAGTCTACTTCACTTCATTTTATTTGCTCTTTTAGTGGACCAAGAGTCTCTCAGTTTTGACCACCACGGACTCGTGCGGACCAACCAGTAGAGATGACGGGATCCCACCCGGCCTGGGTGTGGCCCTGCACACCGAGGCGCCGCATGGTGAAGTTCTTTGAGGCACCGGGCCCACAGGTCGACCGACGACCGACGGTTTCTTCGGGTTTAGGCCTCTTTCACGGCCATTTTGGAGCATCCTAGAATGTATGGTTGGTGGTGAAGATTCCACCCACGTCTGGACTTTGTATAGAGAAGGGGCTTCAGGGTTTGATGCATGAGGCAGATCCAACTGCGTTTGAAACAGAGTTGGTTTGGGGTGTTTTGGGGTTCCTTCATTATGTGGGACCCGATCTTCATCTACCAGAGGATGAGGGTGCACATGGTTGGTTTGATCTGGGCTTTGGCTCTCCGCCAGCTGCACAAAGCAACATCGTAAACTCGAGGACCACACGGTCATGTTCATACCATTTTCGTTTGTCCTGTTTGAAAGCATGTTGGCATATTGGTGCTTTGAGTGATTCTGTCTCCATCGGAGCTCGCATCCGTGTTCGGCAGGTACGGGACATGAATGGTGCGTCGATCAGTACCTTGCTCACTGAGGGTGCTACGCAGCTATCGAAGATCAAGTTCTTCAGCAGCAAATGGTGGGCGTTTTGTGGTGGTTTCTGAACATGGGTGCCATGTGCTGCTGAAGAACTGCAATTTGGGTGCAAAATGGTTCTGAAGATGTATCAAAAGAAACACTCGAGGGCTGGGAGGCTGGAAGGCTGTTTACGCGCTACCCGTGCCGTGAGGAACATCTTGAGCATCGTGCAGGATTTCTATCCTGAGATGATTCACCAGGCGAGGGCGTTTGCTTTGGGATGCAGGAGTAGGTAGAAGATGAAATTTACTCTCCAAATTCTTGAAGAATTGATGAGAATATCCAGAGAGCCTGATGAAAAGATCCCAACATCAATCCTGTTGAACACCCAGATTCTCCAAGCCAGCGGGCCTTTTCCCTCAAGGTCGCCGTGCTGAACTCCACCTCGAGCTTCTCAGGGTGGCACGGCCGAGTTGGGCGTGGAAGCGCCATGCACATCCAGGGACCCTCTCATGGACGAGTTGATAAGGGCTCCATGGCATGGCCGCTGGCCTCCAGGGTCACCAGGGCAACCAAAACCCACTTCTCGTATGGTCATTTGTTTGTTGCCTTGTTTGCCTTCTTGAAGCATCTTTGGCTCTGAACGTCATTCTGACCAAGTTCGATTTTCTGAAGCGCTCCTTCTGCGTCTGGACGGTCCGAAGGCGGTCGGCGACGGTCCCCGGCTCGGTCCCGTACGACGCCGAGTTTCTCCGAGGCTCTTTAACTTTTTGTCTCCGATCTTCAACGAGCGGATGAAAGCAAAGATCAAAGTGAGGCCCACTGGGATTCCCTTTGAGGACTGGGAAGATGCAAAGGGTCATGAGACTGGCAGAGATGGTTTGCTGAAGAGGTGTCCGCAAAATAGTCCTCAAATCCTTTGTAAGTTTGAGGGTTTGCTCCCATACTTGGCAGAGAGATGTTCTGAATAGCCTGGCCAAAGGTTGTTCTTGTGGCCATAGGTAGGCCCAAGGGCCTTGGCTCTCAAAGCAATGTGTATGAGGTATGGAGAGCACCGGTTCGGAGCCCCAAACCCAGCCCGGGCCCCTGCCAGGTCCTGCCCTGACCTTCGCTCTTGCGTGTTCGTTCGTTCTCGCTTCTTATGGTTGGGTGGGAATTTTCGAAAAAAACACCATTAACTGTTTGGTTGGTCTGGTTTTACGGTTGGAGGCGGGACACACTCAACAACTAAACCACCAGCTCGACTCAGCTTGTCTGCCAGGAGGTGGCGGACTTGATGGAAGCGAAAGCCATCCATTCCTTCGTGGAAGAAACCTGTGGCCATCTGTGCTCGGGTGCCCATGCCAGCCACCGACCACAAACAGGAGGCTGACGGTGGTTTCGGGGGTCTACCGATGCCCCCTTCAAAACTTCAAAGTTATATTAAGTGTCCCTAAAAATCTAGGAACCAAATCGGGGGAGCTTCCTTGAAGAGGCACTATAGCTATCTTGCGTCCAGTAGGTAGTAGCTTAAGCATTACTAGTAGCGAACTACTCCATCACTTAATTAAGTAGGCGCCTACTTAATTCAGTAGGCGCCTACTTAATGCGCCTACTTAATTAAGTAGGAGGGCGGCGCAGAGTGGGCCAGAAAAAAAGACTACAGTATGTTCCACTTGTGGTTTCCTGCAGTTCGCTGGTGCCAGCACCCAGGTTGGTCACACCTTCTCGTGCCCAGCGGCGGCAATGTTGCGACCTCGGGCCGTTGACGTCAACATGAACGGGTTTGGTGGCGCCGACGTGGCCTGGAGGTGTTTGATTTGGAATGTCCCAAAATAAGGGTAGCTCTTGGGTAGCCCCCGTGCCAAGCGCGAAGGCAGTGTTTAGCCTGGGATGTATCGAAATGGTGATCCTCACAGGGTTTCGCGGACAAAGGAGGTTAATCATGTCCAAAGGGACGTCACAAGGGCCTCAGATCGGACGATGTGTTCAATCCAAAACACTGTTGGACTCTCGCCGCCCGTAGCTTGGCGCCTTTCATCCCGAGCTGGCGCACGAGCCGGCCCCCCAAAGCACCCGGTTTTTGTCTGCCACGTCAGGAGTTCCTGTCCAGATGGCTGAAGCAGGGCCAGAAGTTGGAGTGGCCTCTCGGCCGGGAACCGGAGGGAAGCCGGTGGGGACCAGAAGAACGTGACGGTGGAAGAGCGAGCCCTCTTGAGGCTGTGGAAGAGCGTGATGAAATCCATGAGGTAGATCTGCCTTTCAGGGTAACGAACCAGCAAGTGGATTAGGGGTGCCAACTGTCGGGTCCTCGGGTCCTAGAGACCATTTGTGTTGGGCATGACCCAGGCAGCATGCTAGTATGGGTCATTACGCAGAAACATAAGGGACAACCCTATAAGGGTCCTTCTAAGAACCCAAGCTCGGTACTCCCTCGTCCAAGACCCATATATATATATATATATATAATGAATAAGGGATCGAGCTTGGGTTCTCTGCATTACCCCCAGACCCTGAGTCCCATTCACAGGCCGGAAGGAACAGCCACGCTCCTTCTTCCACGTTTGATGGAAGATACGGACTAACTACCTGCAAAAACGTGTGATGTGAAGATGTGCCACTTCCCTGTGCCTAGTGTGTGACATGTTCTTTCAAGTTGTGCAATGATCTCGCCCACCTGCGATGGACTGTGGAGAAGGAGGACGAAGGATGTGCAGTTGTCCGGGGAACACGAGTTTGGCACTCTTCATCTTTCAAGATGCGTGCCAGTGTGGTGTGCCAGTCTGCAGAATTCGTTCCATTCCTACTGTAAGAAGGTAGAAAGGCGGACACTTCTCATTTCTGACAGTAAACCAAGGGATGTCATCTCTGGTGATTTTCTGGGTCCTTGGCTCCAAGGACAGCCATCCTGGAGGACGGTGCAGATGCTTTCCGGCTGGAGAAGGGCCCCAAAAGGACCCCGGCTCTGTGGAGTTGGACATGAAGGTTCTGAAGGTCTACAAATGAAACGAGCTCCAATGAGTTCAGTTCGGGGATGGCTTTCAAGTCGGTTTCACTTTCCGTCCTTTGGTTTCAAATCAGAGATGGTCAGGTAAGGGAATGAATCGAACAGAACCCTCGCTGGACCGACCGTTGTGCGGATCTCTTGCCTTTGCAGCCCCTTTTTGGCCGAGCACTTCAGTTTGAGTGGCGTATCAATCCACCGGGTGCATACACTGAAGACCCGGGCTCGCCTGCAGAAGCTGCGGCTTCCGCTCGCCGCGACAAGCCGGCCCAGGTCATGGTCCACACGGCCTTCCTCCCGCAGGCTGGCCGATGGGTGGGGTGTGAGCGGCGCCAGTTGGAGGAGGTTTCTCTTGGCACGTCCTGGCCAACATCAGATCTATAAAGTTGGAGTGAGGACTTGGTCTAGCTGGTGCAAGGCTTCAATTGGTGGTCAAAGTTCACTCTGGCTCTTCTCTTCTCAGTGTTCAAGGAGGCATCACCCTTTGCACCCCTGTCATCCGAGTTTCTTGGTCTTGTGACGCAATGGTCTCATGACGGTGCTGGTCTCGTGACGCACGGATTCTTCTTCAGTAGGTTATATCATGTAGTTACATAAAGTTATATTGCATTGGTTAGATCTTTCGTGAGCAGGAGCCAGCGGATGCAACAGCCAGTGGTTCCTAACGTCCGCACTCTCCACCTGGCCGCACACTCCATGTCGGCCACATCGCAGCAGGATGAAAGCCAGCAGGAGGAGTTGGCCTTCATCGCAGAGGAGAGAAAACAAACTGAATATGTGGCTGGAAGATGCTGGAAGTGGCTGGAAGATGCTGGAGTGGCTGGAAGATGCTGGAAGCTGTTCCAAAAGGATGAATGGCTTTTGGATGATGGTCTCAAATCCCAACCGTGCCTGTCTCACCTGTCTGGGATCCCTTTGGTTCTTGGATGGTGCGACCCGTGCTTTGTCCAACCCTCGTAGTCTAAACATCCTCAGCGAAGCTGCGTCGGATTCCTGGATGTGCCCTCTCACGCCCCATAGAGTCTGGATGACAATCATCAACGTCGACAAATCATCGGCGCCCCAAACCATGCTTCCACTTAGCTCCACGATCTACCAGCATAGCTCCCATGCCTTCATGAGGGCTCAGTAGGGACAGAACTTTTTTGACTGTTTGGCGCTTGGAAATTCTGGGTGAGCTTGGCACCCCCAGCTGGGGCACACTGAATTTCTATACGTTGAACATTTTGTTACCCTCAGCTTGGTGTGTGTTTGCAATGGCCTTCATTTGGTGTCCATGTTTATTCTATAGAACAGACGTATTTCTGGGGGGACACATCAATATTATATATCTAGACTGACGAGTCGCATGTGGGATGCGAGTGACTTCTCACTTCACAAGGCTGTGACTGGGGCACTGTCTTTTTTAACCTTGCTGGAGAAAGGACCCAGTCACCGTAGCACTGAAGCATCGATCAGATAGGTGTTTCTATGGTCAGCATTGGCAGTCCCTCGTCCCTGGACGCAGCAGTCATTTTGAGACTTTCTCCATCAACTCTGCGGAAAGGAGAAACTTTTTCTGCGGAAAGCCATCACCAGTGAGTACGAAGCTCCCGCAGAAGGACGCCCGTCATCGATGGGCCAAGATCGACCGAATGACCAAAAGGGTGGCTAGAAAGTAATAGGACCGAATGAACAATGAGAGGGATAGGACCATAGGACCATGCCATAGGAGCCTAAAAGACCCCTCCGCAACGCCGCACAATTTTTGCCCAGATGGAACATCTCCTGGCTGTCCCAAGTGATTTCAGGACACAAAGGGACTTGAGACCTGAACGCTATCATTCTGGGGTCATTCCTGAACGTTGCAGCGGATATCGTGGTCAGAAGGTTGGCTTGAAGGGTGACTTGACCAAACATTCATTTCCAAGCAGTTTTTTGAGAATAGGAAGCCACTGAATTTGTTCAATAGTTTGAACAGACTCTGACCCCAAGATTCGCGGTGGGAGATATTAATTTTTGATTGAAAAGGGGACTGGTTCAAGTTGGAAGAGGATATAACTATAACATATTATATAATATTATATGTATATACGATGCTTAGATGGTGACTTTAGATGGTTTGGCCTTAGGGGCCAACATCATCCGGTACGCTGAAAGATGCCAGGAGTGTACTGGCTTTCTGCCAGCGCCTCAGGATTCCGAGCGCGGTCGGGTCGGACATTTCTGCCGCAATCGGCCCGGGTCAAAGAGCTTGGGACTCAAAGACTTGGACCTCCAATCGCCAAGGTTCAAACATGACTTGCTGGGCCACTGATTGTTCTCAAATTTGCTTCAGCTTTCAGCACTGGCAGAGACACTTCGACCTGCGCGGACTTCCAGGTCGATAACAGCTCCTCGTGGGTCAACAGCAAGACGGTGACCATTGACTTGCATTGCTGAGGAATGTTGCGAAGCAACATCCGCACAGCACTTGATTCAAACGTCAAAGACCAATTTCACTTGCTGGTTGGATTGGGGCAGCTTAAAGTCCGTTGCCGTTTTCTGAAAGTCTCATTCTTCCATTGGTCCATTTTGGCCGATTCTTGGCGTGGCAATACATTTGGCCAATGTCGAAACCAGCGAGAAAGACTCCACCAAGGCACAAATAAAGATCTTTTCGCGTTTGTGCTCAGCGTGCTCGCGCTTCAGTGTCCGAACAACTCTGGTGTCGGAACGCACCCAAGCCGAACGGTGGATCAAAGCAAATCGACCGCTGGCGGTGGAAAAGCAAGGTGTGTTTCGCACGTGTGAGAGCTTCGAAAATAGTTTACCCTGTGCAAGTACGGGAAAGGCTGTTTCTTCCTCTCAGTTAAAGGTGGTCTATTTTTAAGGGTATGTTTTCAGGGAGTGAACCGACTCCAAATCGTACGATTGGTTCATCTAAAGTTCTCAGCCTCATGCAGCAAGATTGGAGACAGGTTTTGAGGGGGTTTTCGGTGAGCGCCTCAGCGTCGTGTCTTCTGCTTAGCACCCTGCGATGTGCGAAGACGATGTCGTCTCCCGGAAAGGGTGAAGTCCACCCCTTCGGCACACGAGGCGAAGATTGACTTCGACTGCGATCCCTGGCCCAGCTTCCCACAGGTCGGGCGCGAATTGGACCAGGACCAGATTCCAAGAAGCACTATGAATTAGCTGGAACAGGATGGAACAGGTGCACTTGGAGTTGGTTCCACATATATAATTGCATATACATATACAAATATTAGGTTAGTAATAGTGGAGCCTGACATATTCTGACATCTTCTGCGTCGACATGATCCCGAGGTTGTGGTGGCGTCTCAGGTTTGTATCGCATCATGTCCGGCTACAAGTGGTTTCGAAGCGGGATGGGCACCGACCTGCATCCCCGGTCCAACATCCCCACTGCCCCGTGCTGCGCAGGCGCGCGATTTGTGCCAACAGCTCTTGGCCTTTCAACCAGAGGAGTGAGAAGTCGAGGGACAAAGTGGAAGAATCATGAAGACTCTGGAGTTCCAATGAGGATGTCTTGGATTTCTTTTGCCCCAAAACCACTTGTTATAGGTGGCTGGAAGGAGTTTAGTTGTTATATGTGTTATTATAACATTGACTAACTGTCCTGGAGCCACCAGAATGTGGAACATTTGAGCTGATGCTGTGGCTTGGGGGTGTCTCTTGCTTGAGCCACATCCAAGCAAAATGGGTTGCAATCTCAGCCCTCTGGCATCCGGTCATGTTTCCCTTCGGAACCTTCCGGGTGACCGGAGCCCTTCTGCCGGCATCCACCGGCTCGTCCGCAGACCCGAAGGATCGGTCTCACCGAGTTCGCAGGACCGAAGCCCTTCTGCACGAGCCGCTTTGAATCATCCTTGGCTGAGTGGAAAGTGAGAGTGCTTTCATCACAGCCGCAGGCGGCCAGACCACGCTTGAACAAAACCTTTGACATCCATTTAATCCCCAGGTGACTAGCTATGCACTGTGACTAGCTATGCACTGGCAGTTTTCAAGACCAAGACCTTTTGTGCTGTTGTTGACGTTGTTTGGCCCCGCTACGTCCGGATTTTGGGGCTGAAGGCCCATCCGCGCCGTCGCGCAGCACCAAGCTTTTCACTTTCCTAGGAAGGCACGGCCCAAGAAGGGACGAACACGCCATGCAGCTGACGCTTTTCTGCTGATTTGAGGAACAAGGCCCAGTTATCAAAAAAGATATGAGAAAGTGGCATGCCCAACCACCCGTTGCAGTTTGGGGTCACTAGATTCTCCCAAACAAATCCAAACAACACATGTGCCACTTAAGATCTTCTCCCCTCTCACATGGCGTTTTCCCTCTGGCCGATGTGGCAGCGTTTTCTGCGGTTGGTCTTGCGGCAAGACTCTGATGATGCCGAAGATGTTGAATGACTGAATGACGTAAAGGCATTTCATCAAGTTCATCTTTTTAAAGATCAGCTCCTGCTAGGTGTCCCTCCAAGCCAGCCGTAGTTCCACACCAGTAGCCTGAAGCTTCGCCACATTTGCCGCAAGACGGCCGCCACCATTGGCCGCCACCCTTGATGTTGTGGGAGGCAGGTCAAAGGAACCTCCAGAGGATGGCTCCTTTCGATTTCAGCGCCGCATGATCGCCGCACTCTGCTTTTTTTCCCCGAAAGTGCACAGGAAAGAGAGAATGGGCGTCGCGAGATTCACTGATTTCTTCGAACAGCTTGCGGCACCCAAGGTGGAGACCAGCCAAATGTACCGGTTTGCGGTTCTTGAGCGACACAAACACCTCACCATCACCAAACGAAGAATCATGAGGCGCAGGAATAACTATGATTGCTGTAAATATGAATCAATCAACATCGTAGGTGTAGGAACGTTTGTCTCCTTTGCCACCGCAGCTTGGCTTGGGAGAGACCAACGAGGTCCCAAGACCGGAGAGAACGGGGTTCCTCATTGAGGCCAGAGAACTCGCGGCTGTGAAGCGAAGTGGCTGAAGTTAAGAGAGACTTGGGTAGACGGATGGGACCGATGGGACATCAGGAGATAGGAATAGAGAGGACGTTTTCTGGGCAATTGGGGGATTGGGGTGGGGTGGATGATAACCACTCGAAGTCATCTGAAAATGAACGTCGTTTGCTTGAGAGTGGTGGTTAGAGCACCCACCATCTGTGGCCCAGTGGCATTGTGGCCTGGTGGTCTACATCCTCCATATGTCATCGTGGGAATAATCAGCCCCCACCCGTTGAAGGTATTGGAGACTACATGACTAGATCCTGATGATCAGGTGATGACCTGGACCTGATGATGGATGATGGTTGATGGGATTCTGAACCATGAGAGCTTAACATATTAGCACAGGCTTTATGAGATATCAGTGCCATGCCAATTAGGAGCTTGTGCCTGAGAGCATGGAGGAGGAATGGGCACTGGAGGCTCTATGTGGTGAGAGTGGATGCCTAAACTGGATGGTCTGATTGGCGGAGTGTGGACGATTGGTTTGATCTGATGGCCTATGACACCCAATGGGAGAGAGATGAGCATATAGCTGGAAAGCAAAGTAATATGGGAACCTTCCAATATGGAGGAGATGAGGCATTGAGGCATTGGATGAGTAAAGCAGAGGATGGGGCGGGATCAGCAATGATGAGATGAAGAAGGTGATGAGCCTGAGAACGCTTAGGAATCTTTATATTGCCTCAGGTTATTTGTCTGTGGTTGATGAACTTGTCAGTTTGACAATTAGTCAAGTTCATTAACGTTTGGTGCTGCCATCTCAGGAGCAAGGTGCATAAGAATGATGAGCTTTGGCCTATCTATGAGAAGATTAGCCAGCTGATGAGTTCAGCAGAACCTGGATCATCCAGGTGATGAGTGGCTGATAGAGAGTTGGCGTGGCCAATGAGTTGATGAGCTCAATGTCGAGTACCTATATATATATATATATACATGTATATATAAGGGGAAGAACAGAAGGAACTACTGCTAAGTGCAGAAGGAGCTACTGCTGTAGCAAGGGTTTGAGGATGACGATCTTCGAACCCAAAAACGGCTGTAAGAATAGCAGGCAGCGACCGATGGCGCATGTCGCGCGGGAGTTGCTGAAGAAGGAATTGGTGACCTTGATGAAGGCCCAAGCGACGGGACGCATGTGTTTTGTCACTGGAATCGGTCGGAGTCTGGACGGTCCCTCGGCCCAGGAGATTGGAGGTGGCAGAAAGGTTCCAGAGTGTGTGAAGAACCAAGGTGTCTGTGGATGGCATGGAACGTGTTGCTAGGCAGTGACGCTCCCCCGATTTGGATGTTTGGATGCCCCACTCTGACTGTCATTGGCTGAAAGATGTGGAATGGAACTCTGTGGTTAGCTTTTAGACCTTAGTCAACAGCTTTTCATTGCTTGCTTTGGGTGTGTTTTGGTTTAGAGGAACCTGGTGTTGCGTGGTCCAAGTCAAGTAGTTTTTCATGAACCTAGAGTTGTTTGAAGGTTCTACGGGCGTGGTAGGCCTTTTTCATGTTCGGAAAGCCGGTAAATCCATTTTGCACTTGCTATGCTTCGATAGCCTTAGAACTTAGAACATTTGTAGTGACGGACACCCACTTAGACAATATTTTGGAAGAGTCCAACAGAATCGTGTGCAGTTCACATATCTGCCGTTCTAAAGCAAACCAGATCAACAATCTACTGAATCATCTGGTTTATGATGTACACATACAGTAACAGACACCCAAATACAATATCATAATTTGTATATAATATATATATTCTTAACATGGAAGGTCTATCGTTTTGAAGAAAATCAAACCACATTCCTTTGAAAACTTAAAGACACTCAACTGGGAACATTTAAACGTAGACTAAAGTGAGCAAGCAAACCATTGGTCAACACCTTCATACGGTGGATGTTTGTCATTTTGCACATGCCAGTAAATCTAGGAAGGTGGACTACGATGGGTTCTAAATCTATATAGTAGGTGCATTTCAAGAAGCAATGCCAGTGGTGAAAGGGCATCATACTGGGCGTTTTTAAAGCCTGGTCCCTATGTAGCCGAAGCACCCGTAGTAACCGGAGATGAAAGCAACTGGACGGATCATTTGGAACGCAGGAAGACACGAGATAAATAGCCACGGCACGCCACAGCTAGGCGATGTGGACACAAAACAAGGATATGGCAGGAAAACGGAGATAGCTGCTGAACTCGGCTGTTGATTTCAACATGTGCGAGAAAACCCTATGTTTAACGTTTCATATGTTCATGTCAACTAGGATACATCAAACTCCACAGTTTGCTCGCCGGCAATTTTTACTGCTGTGTATTCGACCCCATCCTTTGTTGATGTTTATCATTGAATTCTACCACTTAGTGAACACTGGTGTTTTTGTCGCTAAACAACATGTAGAATCTGCTGAATCTACTGTTTTCATCTGTTTTCGACCCCTTTCAAACTTGGATTCTACAACCATAGGAGTCTGACGGAGGCGGCAGCTCGATTGACGAGCATATTAGTGCATGTGAATGGTTGAACTTTTGCATTCCAGCAAGTTTAAGATGAGAGATAAACAATCTTTTTGCAAGTGTTGGTCTTTTGCGAGATGATTGTTGTTCTTGGGAGGGTGATTGCGCAGTCAATGCATCAGGATTGAATCCCATTGAACAAAACCGAAAATCCCTTTATTGATTGCGTTCGAATTCCGCGCTATTCCACGCTATTCCACGCACGGCCTCCTGGGCATGCTTCAGGATGAGAGCTGCGGCTTCTCTGTGGGTTTGGAGGAGGGAGCGAGGGAGCGAGGACGCTGAGAATGACCCCGAGCGGGTTCTCTGCCCGAGCATTGGGACGGGCTGCGTCCGTCAGCGAGAGGAGTAGATATATAGATCTTTGTACAAAGTCTTTTTCGCAGGCAAAACAGAGCAAGTCGGTCGGCCATTCTTTCCGATTGGTGAGCAGGAAAACGATGATGTTGAAGTGTTACCCACTTGTCATAGGCCAACTTCATCATTTCATCCCATTTTTCACCTCCAGTTGCACCCCAAAAACTGTTCCAGTTGGGGTCCCAACCCACCAGTCTGACGGTCGCCGGTGTTGACGACCATGGTCGTCTCGTCCAGGACGATTCGGACTTCTTCACCTGGCGCGTGGTCTTCGAGGGTCCGGCCGAGAGCCTGTGGGGACGCCTGAGGGGACGCGGTTGCCGGGACCTCGGGGGGAGCAAGGGAAGACCACGGGACGGAAGCTGAGGGTTTTACACACCAAAGGCAACTACGTGTCCTTTTTTTCTCTTTCAGCAGAGCTGGTGCATGAAGAGATTGAGATGAGATGCAGATGCGTGTCAGATGTGTGTCGGGAGATGGTGATGACGCAAGCTCGTTTAGGTATGAGGGTGGCATTTTCACCGCGATCCTAAAGTTCCCGTCCGACTTCCCGAACAACCCGCCAGAGATGAGGCCAGAATGCCTCAGTTCACGGAAGGGGGAAGGGTTGCGCGGCGACGCATCTTGCCACGGGCGCGTTGGCCTAGCTCAACCGCTTTTCGATTTCCAATAAGGCTTTGGACACTGCCACTAGTGGCAACTGCAGTCGTAAAATCATGTGAAGAACTGCTTCAAAGTCAATAATTGTATCCTGTGCAACTCAATTCAAGGCCCACTGTGACTTCGAAACAAGGCGGATGGAGCATTCATGGTGCAGTGTTTCCTTCCAAGACAGCTGGAGAAAGCCCCTGGGTCGTGGTAATGGAAGAAACCTGGTGCTTCTATAACCATTTGTGAAGCCACCCCAAAATACTGGAATGTTGCACCTTGGTGACTGAGCTGGGCCCCAATGCATGTGTCAAGATGCAAACGTCTTGACCTTGAGCCGCACTGAAGAGACGGCAAGGGTGCTGTGGAAAGACAGATGGCTTCCGCTGAGTCAACGTAACCGGGTCGCAGAATCCCAAAAACTGTAGCGAGACTGCGTTCACCCCCACATGAAGGTACTCCACCATGCTATTGAAGGCGCTGAAATCCACTGAAGCCTCTACATCATTGCAAAGGACGCCCAACTCCAAGAACGTCTTCAAGCATGCAAGAACCCTTCAATCGGCAGCGAGACAGCCGTTTCCCTTGGCATTTTCGACCTGTGTCATGTAGACATCTTATGACATGATGTGGAACATGGGGTGGATGCCAGGGTCGGTCCGCTCGCCGCATTGGAACATGCGAAGACTCAAACCCGATGACCCGAAAAAAAGACAGGCCACCAGTGTATCCGATCGAGTGTCATTTGGATGATGTTTGAAAAGGTTGGGGTACCCATGGGACAGTCTATAGCGTATGTTAGGGTTCTTCAACCTCTGTTGGTACAAATCAAAATTCTGGATGGCGTTTGGGGCGTCGGCCAGGGGTCTTTCTGTCGCGCCCGCTTGGTCTGGGGACCGCCATCGCAATTCTGCGAGGTTCGAGACCGAGATGTGGCATCCCAACATCTACCCGGATGGCCGGGTGGTGCTGGCGATGGTTGTTCACTGGAAAGAAGGAGAATGAGAAGCTGAGCTGCTCAGCTGTGAGGTCAGAAAGTTCAACAAAAATCGGATCATTCATATGGACATTTTAAAGACCCAGCTGCGGGTGGCAGTATTGGAGGCCCAGTTGAAGTTCCTGATTGTGTTTGTTCCTTGGCCAGATACACGAATTACAGTACATGAACAACTCCTAAGCTTGCAAGTTGGGAAGCATGTGTGGATTGTGTATGACCAGCTGATCCTCAGACAGCAGCTCGTGTCATGTGCACATTGTTTCATGCTTTTGTGCACAAGTAGATGGCGGTCTAACACTGGTCGGTGCTATGTGCCCAAGGGAGTTTGGCACATCTTCCCTTCCACCACTGAACCACTTCACATTTGCAGTGAGATGTGCCAGGTCTGCATCTCCATCTTGCATCCTCCAGGCACCGATCGTTTCAATGACCAGGACGGAACACCCACCTTCCCCACCCCGCGGGTCCATCAACGTGTACGACCGGTCCTGGACCGGTCCAGGAGAGTCCATCAACGTCCGGTTGCCCCGCCCCACGCATGGTGCACGAAGTCTTGGGTCCGAGAAATGCATACCAAAGCCGAAGGAAAACCGAAGGAACACCGAAGGGACCAGCTGTCCATTCCTGGTTCGAAGGATGTGGCCAGCGATTCCCTCCCCCTCCTCTCCACCCGATGGGTTTAGCCACCGCAGCGGTCTCCGCGGTCTCCGCGGTCTCCGCGGTCTCCGCTGTCTCCGCTCGTTCGTGCACCGTCGACGCGTCGCAGGAGACCGCGGATGAGCGCTGGCGGCCGATCCTGGGCGTTCATAGCATCCTCATCAGTGCCGGGTAGCACAGGATTGGCCGCGATGCAAAAGACGAAAGAAGGGAGGACGACCCACGCTCAGCTTCCGGGGGAGGTCGCGAAATTTGGGAGTGAAGAACTGGTCAGAGACGAAATACGCCGTGCTGACTCTTTTTGGAGTGTTTTTTCCCGAATGCGTAGCGAAGGGTTCCCGTTTATAGTTGGGGGTGTGGGGGTTGGACATGTGTTTGCATGGCCTGCGTCGTGTCGTCGTCTGTCGTCGTCTGTCGTCGTCTCTCGTCGTTTGTCGTCGTCGTCGCGTCTCAAATTTGCTGCCATTGGGGGAAGCTTTTGCAAGTGACTTTGCATGGATGTGTCACGTGTCAGTTTGCGCCGCTATTCCATTGTGATTTGCGTGACACGGACATGTCGCGCAAGAAACGTGATGCACTTCGCTGCACAGGCGCAGCGTTTTGTGAGATCCGCAGATTACGGCGCAGTTCCATTGGGATTAGCGTTTGGAGAGTCGTGTTTTGGGGTGTTGGATGTGGCCGTGCCATTGGGATTTGCGTTTCAGGGTGTGGCATCGAAGCTCTGTTTTCGTGACAAGTCTCAGCTGAAATGGCGATTTTGATGGATGGGAGTGTGCTCTGAATGGGTCGAAATCATTCCAAACGTGTGGTGTGGTGCAAATTTTGTTGAAGCTCACATGCGACGATATTGTCACTTTTCGTGGCAGGCGCAGGACTTCGTGCGGGCTTTGAAGCGTGGAAGTGCAATTCTCGTGGCAGGCGCAGGGAATCGTGAGGTTGCGAGGTGTGAGGGAGGTGACATTTCGTGGCAGGCGCAGTACTTTGTGCGCGTTAGACGTGTGGATGGGGAAAGATTCGTGGCAGGCGCAGGGAATTGTGAGGTTGTGAGTTGTGGTAGAGGTGAGTGTCGCTGTCCCATTGGGATTGGCGTGTGAGCGGATGTTGTTTGGAGGGGCTGGAATCGCGAAACTGCTTGGCAGGGCTGCGTGATGTGTGTGCTCCGATGGGTGTTTCCGCTTGACTTTTGGAGGAAGTCTCGTACGAAACGCTCGTTTTGCAGACTTTGACGTGTGAGTTTTTGAGGAAGTCTCGTACGAAACGCTCGTTTTGGAGACTTGACGCGCAACCCTCTGCGGAGATCGTGCGTGTCGAGTGCACCAAATGCAGGCGAGAGTGCGATTTGTCCCATGCGCGCGCAACCCTCTG